TTGTTTTGACTTCCTTGATATCTGGTATCCTTGACTTTGGCTTTCCGTCATCATTGTGTCTGATTCTGTGTCCCTGACCTCGGCAAGTATTTACTATTCTTGGAGACTTTAAGTCCGGCCGTTCTAAGGTCCGGTTATACGTTATCCTTAGTTCTAGGTGTGACACAGTACTGTGTGCTTGATCAACTAGTAATCCTGACATCTTCTCGATGTTTCACATCGAGTTTTAGTTATAAAGAAAGGTTAAAAAAAATTAAATCTGTTTAGTTTGGAAAAACGGCACCTGAGAGGGGATATAACATTATAAAAATATATTCGGGGCCAGTACAAACCTTTATCTGGAAACCTATTCATAAATAGGGCTATACCTAGGACACGAGGTCACACATTTAGGCTGGAAGAAAGGAGATTTCATCTAAGGCAAAGAAAAGTTGTTTTTTTTAACCGTAAGAGCAATAAGGATATGGAATTCTCTGCCTGAAGAGGTGGTTTTGTCAGAGTCATTACAGATGTTTAAACTGCAATTGGATAAATACTTGCAAAAACATAACATACAGGGATATCATTTCTAATTAGTAGGGTAATAGCTGCTTAATCTAAAGAGATATCTGACTGCTATTTTGGGGTCAAGAAGGAATTTTTTCTTAGATTGTGGCAAAATTGGAAGCGCTTCAGACTAGGTTTTTATGCCTTCTTTTGGATCAACAGCAAAAAACAAATGTGAGGAAGGCTGAACTTGATGGACGCAAGTCTCTTTTCAGCTATGTAACATTTCATACAATTGAATTGTATAACCCTTTCTGTATGTTGGAGATCTTTTGATAACCTTAATGGGATTGTGCACATCATTATTCAAACACCATTTCGATAGAAATGTATTTGCTTAATTTTCAAAATTATGTTTAACTTTTAAATTCTTATATCAAAATTAGAAACACATTTATTTGCTTTATCTAGTGCCTTTATATGATGTACATTTACATATCCATTCCATGTGATAATTAGCTCTTTATTTAGCGGGGGGGGGGGAACGAACTATGCTTTAAATTGAGTAAATTAGAGAAGTTAGGTTATTAATATCACTTATTAGTGTTATCAGGTTATGGGCAAATACAAATATTGTAGTTCTCAAACTGTGTACTTTGTCTTTAAGAGATATTGCAAACAGACATGGTATTAGAAATGGAACATATTGTTTTTCATACGTTTCTTTAAGCAATAACCTTTTTACCTACTTTCAGTGCATAATATGTTTACGCCATTTTATCCCAGACAAAATACAATAACAATAATGCATAAACAAGCTTCAAGGCTTTGTGACGACTCTTTCAGTACATAATATAATGCGGCAACCCTAAATAGATAAAGATGTTCAGACTTTAAGATCTTTTGCCATGTTAAGGGAGGTCCTAAAATGAAGTAAAATAAGTGTTACTTATTCATATATGAACTACAGTAACCCTAAAATGAAGACACCTTAGGTATAAATATGTGTACCTTTTAAATGTTAACACAAAGAGGAGAGATTTGGAGACAGATGCTCCATCTTATAATGACATAGAGGCGGACATGATGACCTGTTCAGGAGGGTATGTTAATCTAGTAATGATATTTGCAAGCATATAGTTTAAATCTTAAATACTCTGCTATAAATTATTGTAATGGATTTTATATGTCTATATTTTTATATAATAAATATCTAAAACACAAAACTTTATTGCTTCCAAGACAATCCTTATTTTATATTGTATTCTCAATTATTTAGATCTTTTAAATAGAGGATCTCTTACTAACTCTATAAAATTATGGCTAAGATATCTGTATGGATGGCCCTCCTTAAAAAAAAAAAGTTCTTTGCTTTAAGACGTTATAATGGTACATAGGGGAACCAGCTGCGGTTACATTAGTGCTTCTCTTCTGTAGTAATTTGGGGAGACCTAGAATACTTTTAAATGAAATCAATTAACTAAATGCGTAATGTAAGTAGCTCTTCAGAAAATAAACTTTTACAAATCTTCTTTCAAAGTAATTAAGTTCTTCAACCAGTCGTCTGCTTTGATTGGTGTGTCAAAGGGTAGAAATCTGGCCTCAAACAATATCAATTACTTAGTGGGAAACTGACATCTATATTTACTACTGTGAGATCTTAGAATAGTTGTCACCAATAAAATGACCACCTTCTAGAGCAGGCTTCCCCAAACTCCGGCCCTCCAGATGTTGCTGAACTACAACTCCCATGATTCTTTGAATTAAATAGGCTGAGAATCAAGGGAGTTGTAGTTCAGCAACATCTGGAGGGCCGGAGTTTGGGGAAGCCTGTTCTAGATCTTATTATCCAAGCTAGATCTGGCGAACTGTTCCCCTATGGACTTTTTATCTATTGGAGCAATTTTTGGTTTCGGTGAATGGTGGAGACGTTCCATTAAAGGTTTATGATATTTAACATTAATTACTAATGCTTTAAAAAAATTCAAGAAACGTGGAGGTGCCCCTGATTTGCTGAGGGCGATCAACAGATGTACTCAGCCAGTGACTCCTCATATATGTCCGGTGTTTGCCCGGCATCCAATCACCTCAGTACTGGTTCGTCGTAGGGTTACTCCCAGCATCATATGGCAGTCGAACCCTCACTAAAAGGGAGTCTTTGTCTTCACAAGCAGGATGCTTTAGCGGGATAATGGACTCATACTTGCCACTTCCCCTTCAGCCGGTCAGCCTCTATTCTTTTTTTCCCCTTAGGGTTGCGCTCGTCTCTGTATCCCACGCTTGCAGAGTCCCAGTTTCTGACCATCTCCTTAGGCGTCACCAGGAGTGTACAAGCTGTGGCAGTCTCATGTCAACCACGCTCCTCCCCCAAGATGTTTGCAGAGAAAGAAATCTCATCCCGTCACATCCACTTTGCTTAAAGGAGCACTATAGGGTCAGGAACAAAAACATGTAATCCTGACCCTATAGGGTTAAAACCACCATCTAGCCCCCCTGGGCCCCTCATGCCTCCATAAATATAGCAAAATCTTACTGTATTCAAGCCTGAAGCTGTGTAGCTCTGCATGCTGTTTGTCTCAGAAAAACAAGCAGTATGCTGGCATCATCGGAAGTGGTAGCCTGATCCAATCATAATTCTTCTCTATAGGATTGGCTGAGACTGACAAAAAGGCAGATCAGGGGCAGAGCCAGCACAATTCAAACACAGCCCTGGCCAATCAGCATCTCCTCATGGAGATGAATTGAATCAATGTATCTCTATGAGGAAAGTTCAGAGTCTGCATGCAGAGTGATGAGATACTGACTGTTTGGATGCATTTTAGGCAGCCATGACTCAGAAAGGATCTCTAACAGCTATCTGAGGAGTGGCCAGTGAAGTTATCACTAGGCTGTAATGTAAACACTGCATTTTCTCTGAAAAGAAGCAAAAATCCTGAGGGTAATGATTCTACTCACCAGAGCAAATCCAATAAGCTGTAGTTGTTCTGGTGACTATAGTGTCCCTTTAATGCACGGAAAAGATCTACTTCCTCAGCTTACTATAGAATCTGAAATATTTTTTCTAAAAGGACTGCCTCAAACTCAATTCCTGTGTTATCTCGCCCTGAGGCGAATATACTGCGCTTCTGATAAGCAGGTCTTGACAAAAGGTTTATGACTAAACACACTTATGGTACAAGATGGGCACTTCATCAGGATGTTACACGCTTCATGAAAGTGGTTTTAAAGATCAAATCTCCCATCAAAAGATTTTGTCCCACATGGAATTTACCATTAGTCTTGGAGTGTTTCACAGAATACCCAGTGAAATCATTAGAAGCACTGTTGAATGTCCTTACTTGGGACGTTATTCTGCTTGCTGCTCTGACTTCATGGGAAAGAGTTTCTGAGATGCAGGTATTTTCCTGTGAAGTCCCTTTCACCATCATTCATGAAAATAGTTATTTTGAGGATGTTTCCTTAGTTTAGACCAAAATGCGGTCTCTCCCTTTCACATTAATCAGTAAGTTGCCCTTCCAGCTCTTTTTTCTAATCCTACCTCTGAGAAAGCAGCAGGAAGGTATTACGATCTATATCATTTTGATCTATATTGTTAGGATTTACTCTTAGATAAAGTGTTTGCCTTTTTGTCTTTCATTCTGGGATCAAGAGGAAAACCAGCTACTTCTTCATCTGTTAATTGGTGGATTCAGCAGCAGGAGCAGGAGTTTCCATGGAACAGATCTGCAGAACCCCACGGTCCTTTAAGGATACTATTATCAGACAGTACCACTTGGATATCCTGGCTGGTTGCAATAACAATTTCAAGCAAGTGTTCTTTATGCTGCTTTATCTTGATTTCTCTGAATTAAAGTGTGATTTAGCATGACTCATTGTTTGGTAGCTTTGTTATTGCCCATAGTGTTGCTGCTATGGATATGGCCAAGTAAACAGAAACTTTATTCCGTACTTTTCCATAGTCAGTCTATGACAGCAGAGACTGTATGGTTTTTGTATGGACTGATTACCAGGCAGTGGAGGAGGAGAAGGAGGGTCTAATTGTTCTGTCTTTATTACCTGTTCTATAGGTGTTGGGGGCAGGGATGTACCCATACTAATGATTCCATGGACAAGGACCAGGAAAAGATAATTATGGCAATACATTTTCTATTTTGTTTATTCATTAAAAAAAAAGTAGACAAACACAAATTTGAAGGTTTCAAGAAAACCACTTGTGTTTGTAGACACAGAGAAGGCATGTTTCACCTTATTGTGGTTTACAATTGGCTTGATATTCTACAGACAAATCATTGATTGTATGGATCAAGAGTAGAAAATCAAATAGGACATAAATCAGACAGATCGTGGTGTATTTATGTAAGGAGCCTAAAACCACTGTATGTCTGTGTGATTTTTCATTGAAATTTACAATAAAGGAATTTCGATTTGAATTAACAGTGGTTAAATTAGGCTTCTGGTGGCTAATATTTAATTAGGAAGACAGACCATCATCCTGACAAAAGCACAAGGAGGTGGGCTTTAAAAAGGTACACGCTTCAATATATGTTTAATCTTAATATATAAAAAAAGACAAACTTGATAAGTTTTCTAGATTTATTTACAATATTCAACACTGAACAGTTTCCAGGAGGAAGTTTCCTCAGAAATATCTGCAAAATGAAGAAAAATAAAATAAAAATTAGACGGAATAAAAAAGTTAAAATAAATAATATAACATGTGCTGCTAGCCTAAACAGACATATACTTCTTCAGAGTTTTTGCATACGTAGATCCCTAGATGCTCAGGACTGAATTTCTTACCATTTCATACCTCTGTGCCACTGAAATTTATAATTAAAAGGAGATATTATTTTGATTTGATTCTTATGTTCAAATTTGTATGGGGAAGATCATTTTTGAGTACCAAGGAAGATTTAACTTATATACATACTTTGTGTTACCACCACTTAACTGAAAATTACACCATAAAAAAAAAAGTGTTAAGCTTTTATTCATGTTATGTTCCATTTTCTTAAAATTTTTATTATATATTCGATAATTGAATTCAGAAACATTGTAAATGACTAGGGAAAAAAAAAAAAAAAAAGCAGCACAATTTCTCCTCCTCTCTGTATTCTCTCTCTATACCATTTGCAGAGGACCGAATAGGGCACTAAGATAGGGATGTCTAGTTGCAAGATTTCTACATTTGACTTGGATTTAAATATAGGAGATTAGTAAACATAATAGTAAAAATCACGGGAAGTCACTGTTCTGATTTAAGCACAGAAAGCTTCTCCAATTAATGTACCGTTTTTAATCTCTTCCTTTTTAAATCCACCTATTGTACAGCGCTGCGATGAATATTTGCTCTTTATAAATAAAAGTAATAGCATGAAAACACTTAACAGAGATTGGGCTTACCACAAATAAAAAGGATTAGTCTTCTTCAGGGGTTATCCCCAACTCTTCATCTGTCCATTTTGAAGGGTCAGGATATTCAAAGTGACCCTAAGACCAAACAGAGGAACACATTTTCACAATGAATATACAGGAAACTCCCTCAGAGAACTTTCTTTTGAGTGAATACCCCATATGTCACTAGAGGTGTGTTTAATCTTTTTTTTTTGCAAGTTATAGGGCTATAAGTACAAGTAGGACATTGCGGTTTCAAAATATATATTTTTAAAATTTATCAATAGTGACATTGCAACACTTATCTGTCATAAATCTCTGAGTCACACCTCACGTGTACATATTTTTTTTAAAGTAGACAACCCATGGCATTAAATATGAGGTATGTACATGCATTTTTAGTAGCCACTTAGCCACAAACACTGGCCAAAGTTAGCATTTATATTTGTTTGTGTGTTAAAAATGCAAAAAACAAACAATTATGAACGCTAACTTTGGCCAGTATTTGTGACTAAGTGGCTACTAAAAAAGACTGAACATACCCAATACCTTTTTAAAATGGTATGCCATCATGGGGATAAATTTCTCATTCCTGGGCTACCATACACTCTAAAAGGCAACATAACCAATCTGGCAAATTTCAATGTGAAAAAATTGAAAAATCAAGCCTTATATTTGACCCTGTAACTTTCAAAAACCTGTACATGGGGGTTACTGTTATACTCGGGAGATGTCGCTGAACACAAATATTAGTGTTTTAAAACAGTAAAAGGTATCAAAATAATGATATCATCAGTTAAAGTGCCGTTTGTGTCTAAAAAAATTCAAAAATCTTCACGTTCACTGACAATATCCTCGCTGTGATAGTAAAACAGTACATGTACAGATTTTAGGGTGTCATGGAACGTTACAGGGATAAATACAGCACTAGAAAATTAGATTCTCTGGCTATTCGGCCTGGATTGGCAGGTACCCCAAATGGCAATCAATAAAATTAATTATGTAAAAATATATTACATAAATATGCACGTAGAATTTAAATATATATACACATTTATATATTTGAAGTCTACATATATATATATATATATATATATATATATATATATATATATATATATATTTTTTTTTTTTTTTTTTTATATTTTACGGTGGGGAAAAATTGTGATTGAAAACCCCTTCCACCTGAAGTCTGTGGATAGATAATACCATGTTAAACAAAAATCTGAACAGCAGTCAAGCCATAAGACTTGCTTTTCCCACAGAAATCCCAAATCTGCAGTGATGTTACAGCCGCAAAGGATTCTGGGTGGGCATATGCAAATTTGTTAAACAAAGAATCACAATTTTATAAGACAGGAGGCTCGTATTATGCAATAACTTTCTTTACTTAACTCCAGCAGCAAAGGCATTTTTTCAATAAAGTTTAGTGAATAAAAAGACAAAAACAGAGAAACTGAAATGGAACATTTGGTAGCCAATCAGCATCCAGCATAGGCTATATAGTGAATTATCTCCAATATTCTTCCTTTGCTGCTCCAGTAGAGATAAGTATCATATATATTCACTTATGCTACTGTTTTCTATACATACATACCTTCTAGTTTGGTTATATATTGACATATGTCTTTATTCCTTTGGTATATATACTTTTCTGAAGTAATTCTATGTCTTTTTGTTTTAAACATATATATTTATACGTATATTGGTGCACAGTCTTTCGTGAATTCTATCTGGAAATGAAGTCGCGGTTCGTCCGCGTTCGGTAGTTTTGTCTTTGAACTGTTAGGTTAGGTATTTCTAGGAATCGCATTCGTTAGTTTTTTCACACAGATTGCACCCATTTATTTTTTCATATTACTTTATTATACTCGCGTTCACAGGTTTTTTGTATACGAACGGGCAGTTCACTGTTCAGTCATTTCGGCAGTTTTATGCGAACCGCTGCATCCTCATTTTTCAGTTAGTACCTCATACATTGATGACGTTTTATGGGCGGGAATACCAGTTAGTTGGTTCTCAGCCCACTTTACCTCAGCACAGCATTTTCTTCACAACTTTGTTACTCTTTACTGGTGATGATTATTATAACTTGAACTATCTGACTTTCCTGTCAGGATTCCCCCTCATATTTTACAACCCTATTCAACTATTTTCGAATAGTAGATACAATTACTATTTGTTGCAATTTTGTAAATTATGAATTCTAAAGAGATTAGACAAACAGACACCAAAACCTGGTGTTTCTCATGACTGAAATCCTCACTGAGGATTCTTTACAAAATATTGTGGATTTATCCGTTCAAAAGTCAGTTTCCTCTGCAATTTATACTGCAAAGTCTTCAATGCAAGAAGCAATTGCAAAGTCTGTGGCTCAAGCCATAAGCAACTCAAAACCCAGTGAGAAGACTCACTTAATTAGTACTCCTTCAGACCAGTTCTGGTCATCTGTGGAGTCTGAACGGAACCTAGCTCAAGGATTTAGGAGGTCTGGGAAGGCCACCCAGAAACGCAAACATTGCTTTGACGGTCCTTCAGAATCCCCTGGCGGCTCTAAGCCACTTAAGATAAGGAAGGACCAAGACTAACACAATGCGTGCCTCACGCAAAACTGAAGAGTGTAATCACTCAATAGACCCTCTGCTCGTGAGGAAGACAAATGAGCTCGGAAGGCCATTCACAGGAGCAAACCTGACTCCTATAAAACCTCCTCAGATAATGATTCATCTGCAATCAGATGAAAAATCTGACTCTGATTCTGCCTCAAATTATTCATATATCTCAGAGACACCTGAGCTTATCTCTAAATCTGATGAAGAGAATATTATTTTGGATTTTAATGGTAAACCATTATTCGACCCAGACCATAATAAACACCCCAGGTCAGCCGAATGAGTCCCTATGGCTCATGTAGCCAAATATATTAAATACTGGTTGAGGAAACCACTTGATCAAGCGGCTAGAAATAAAAGAGCTGAATGCCCTAGACCGACCTTGACAAAGAAAATCGCACAGATCCTGATCTAGATCCCACTATTGTACAATTTTTAACAATAATCTGTAAGCTTGTTTGAGCAGGGTCTTCTTCAACCTATTGTTCATGTAAGTTTTCTTGTAAATGTCCTGTTTATAGTTACACACCTCCTCCCCCCCCTCATAATATTGTAAAGCGCTACGGAATCTATTGGCGCTATACAAATGACAATAATAACAACAACAAAATCAGGGAAGAACCCAAATAAAGGACTTGACAGATCACTAAAATCTTGTCAAGATAAATTAATAGACATTTCTGGTCCTGTGGCAAAAATGTTTGAAACCTTAGAACAAGCGGCAGCTTCTGGGAATCCTCCCAGCATTGATACTTTGAGAGGCTGGACCCAACGCATTGTATGCTTTTTGGGGAATACTAACACAGCGCTGACCAGCGAACACTGCAGGTCTATTTTAATGAAAATTTACCCTGAACTGTCAAATTTAGCCACTTCCGAACCTGGACCAGCTGCGGAAGGTCTCCTATTCAGAGAATCCTTTATTAAAAAGACATTAATAAATATGTCAATCTATTTAATTCCCTTGATAAGGCTCAGTCATCCCTGAGGAAAGTATTCAACCCTAAGGTTTTCGGAAGGGCTGGAAGAGGAAGGAACCGTTCTTCCAGCCATTCCTTTCAACATAGACAGGTTCCAGGGAACACCTTTCAACCCACCAGGCCCTTATATGACAACCAACAATCAACTCCATTCTTTCCACTACGTGGCAGATCTTGGAGATCAAGAGGCCATCAGGGAATGTCTCGCTTCAGATCTTCATCCGGTAAGTACGACAACATCCCTTTCTTCCCTGGTAGGGTTAGGGGGCAGACTCACTCGTTATTTCCAAGTCTGGAGTCAGATTACAAACGATTCTAGGTTACAAAATAGATTTTATATCATGCCCCATCCAAAGAAACATACCTTTCCTGATAAATTTTTCGACCCAAGACCAGACCCTGGTGCATCAAGAAATATTAAGTTTATGGTAAAAAATGCCATCATACAGGTGCCCATGAGCAGCCCAGGTTTCAAAGGAATTTATTCTTGGTGAAAGAGATTCTGGTGACAGACCAATCATAAACTTGAAATACTTAAACAAATTTTGTCAGATACCACCATTTCAAAATGGAGGGAATTTATTACCTCAAAGACCTATTGATATTCAATGACTGGTTGATCAAAATAGATTTGAAGGATGCATACCTCAAGGTACCTATTCACCACTCATGTCAGAAATATTTACAGTTCCTATGGCAAGGGAAGAAATGTCAATACAAATCATTGCCGTTTGGTTTATCCTCTGCACCTTGGTGTTTCACCAAATTACTCAAACCAGTAATATCCCTACTTCGAAGCAGGGGAGTGAGAATGATAATCTTTCTAGACGACATTGATTATGTCACAGAGTGTGCAAACTCTTCAACTACATTCTCAATGGACATTGCATCTGTTAGCAAGCTTTGGCTTTGTAATAAATTACGAAAAATCGATTTTAACTCCCTCTCAGGAGATAGACTTTAGGATATCTAGTGAATTTCAAATTTAGCCACTTTCAACCTTCCTTTACGGAAATTGAAAACGATTCGGAAAGAGTTCAGGTCAGTTCTGAAAAAGGAATTAATTTCCATCAGATCTTTAGCACGGATTGTAGGTCTTTTGTCAGCCTCGATCCAGGCTATCTTTCCAGCACCCCTTCACTATCGGGCTCTTCAAAGATTGAAAAGAGAACATCAACCCAACGGTCTCCTCTATTCAGACGAGATTTCTCTAACTTCGGAGACAAGAACAGAACTATTCTGGTGGTTAGATCACGTTCAAATTAGGAACGGGAAAGTTATTTTCACGTCATTCCCAGACCTGACTATAGAATCCGATGCAAGTCGACTAGGCTGGGGAGCCCGTTGTGGAGGCAATCACACAAATCCCATTGTTGTATCCTTCTCAAGATGGACAACATATCAGCAATCCAATATATAAATCGGTTAGGAGGTACAAAATCCAAGCAACTGGCGGACATTACCAAAGAATTATGGCACTTTTTCCTCGATCGAAACATAACGTTACAAGCAGAATACCTTCCCGGCCTTTCCAATACAGTAGCAGATTGGAATTCCCGTTTCCTAGTGGATTACAGCGACTGGATGTTGGATCCCAACATTGTAACGGATCACCTGGCACCCCGACTGGGTACCTCCGTTGATGGATGCTCCTAGCGCTTCCCGAGGACTCCAAACACTGCAGCAGACTCCATAACCACCGTAGACTCCTCCAGAGAGCAAGGCAGGAACAAGCTCTTACAAGAGCTTAGTAGTGATTTAGCAAGGGAGTATGACAAGCATAGCAATCCCTTGTAGCAGATTCCCCCAATAGGAGACGGCACTCCAAATTGAGGGTGAAGTAGAACTGACTGTACTGACACATAGAGCCTCTTATTTCCAATCCACAAGCTTAGTACTGCCCACAGGGTATTACAGAACAACCAATAAACACACGGACATTACAGAAAACACACCCAGCAATTATACACAAAATCCTCCCTTCTGCCTGTGATCTAATTATGGTACACAATGGGTTAACAATTATCACAAGCAGGAAAAATACAGTTTTTATACATGTGCTATAACTTTAAAAATATACAAACTTCAATCTTCATAAAAATTAGTCATATTCAGAATCAGCACACTTTAAACATAAACACTCTCAGAAATCAGACAAATCCATCCAGTAGATAAAAAGTTAGCTGGGAGTCCTTTATGACAGGCCGCAAGCACATTTTCCTGCCCAAAACAGTTCAATAGATTTGGGCTGTGTGGTCGGTCTATTTTACACAGAAAAATGACTAAGTCCCATTCGAATGCACGAACAGAGCTGTTCGTGCAATTAGCTTAGTACAGCAGTGAGTTCAAACTGCCGAACGGGACTTAGTCTCTGCAGCTGAAAACGGAGTGTAGGAGAAGGCAAGGCTCAGCGGTGTTCGTTGAAATGTGTAGCCGATTTCAGTTCCATGGATTTGGCTGCACATACCGCTGACCTCGTTCGAATGAACAAAGATGGCCGCCGCCACGTGTTCGTTTGTCGAATGGCAACCATTTCGACTGCATCCGAAGTGCCAATTTAAAGCTGCAGAACTGCTCCAATACAATTTAAAGGGGCAGCAAGTCTTTAAAAATCCAATCTGCTAAAATAGTCTTTAACAGGCAATATCTTCCAAGGGCCACAGTCTTAAAGGGGCATTGTTCCCCAAAGTCACAGTATGTCCCCAGATGGTTCTTAAAGGGCCAGCAGCAGCATAATAAAATACAATATGCCCAAATACTGTATTTAAAGGGCCAAATCTCCCAGGGGCAATAGTCAGCAGGCGTTCAAGCCTGTTGTTAGTTGTGTTCAAGCATATGAGTTTAAAACCTTATTGATTCAAAATTCTAATTTCTCGCAATTACTAATCTCTTTTCGTAAACCTGTCTCCTCTACATCTTTAGCCAGATGGGTACGACAAACTATGTCTATGGCAGGTATTGATATTTCTGTGTTTGGAGCTCACTCATCAAGGGAAGCTATGACTACTAGTGTTTCAAGCAGGAGGCTCTTTATCAGATCTGTTAAAAACTGCAGATTGGTCTTCAGAATCTACATTTAAACAGTTTTATTTTAGACCTAACCTGCATGTTTCAAAAATAATATTGTAATAACTTCTGATGTATTTTTATATTATGACTATTTAGCTTTGAACATGCATAATACGAGCCTCCTATCTTGTTATAAAATTCAAGATTTTCCTAGTCTTGACGTCAGAAAATATAGATTTTATTAAAGACAGGAGGCGAGTATTATCCCTCCCATTAACCCACCCTGTTATTTATATTTCAGCTTAATCCTGTTTGGAGTTTCGTCATTCTTATCCTTGGAGTTACTCTACTAGACACTTCTTCTAGATTTGCAGCTCGAAAGAGGAAGAATATTGGAGATCATTCACTATATAGACTATGCTGGATGCGGATTGGCTACCAAATGTTCCATTTCAGTTACTCTTATTTTTATCTTTTTATTCACTAAACTTTATTGAAAAAATGTCTTTGCTGCTGGAGTTAAGTTTAGAAAGTTATTGCATAATACGAGCCCCTGTCTTTAATAAAATCTATGTTTTCTGATGTCAAGACTAGGAAAATCGTGAACTTTGTCACCTCATGCTAATGAGTTGCATTAACAACGAAACAGCTGTCCATGAGTGGTTCACTGGTTTTGCATCTTTTCAAATTGTGTTCCAAGCAGTTGTATACTGCAAACACAGATTAAAAGGAATCCATGTTTAAAATGGAATGAGGCAAAACTGTGATTCTTGTTAAACTCACTGATGATGCCTAACAAGGCTGAAACGATCGTCTGGGGTTGCTGTATCTCTCGTGCAGAGAGAACTTGCTGGCATTTCGGATCTGGACTGGCCGTATGGGTGGGACCAGTCTGATATGCTTCAGATATGTTCTCTCTGTAATGGCACAAGATGAGCTAAAACCAGCTTGAGTTCTGAGCGGGGACCCACCGAAGGGCAGGCTATTTTAGCTGCTGTCCGTTCTCAGAATACTCTTGCGACAATTTAAGGGGTCATCCTATCATTGCACATTAAGACTACTATATCTATAAATCCAGTTCTCACCAGCACTGCATCAGTATCGTGCCATAGATGCCAAAGAATCCAGAACCACATGAAGCCACTGAGAAACTCTGCCTGCCAGACCTGTGACTTTGTCAACTCTGGAAACTGTCTATAGCGAGGTTCAATGTGGACTCCTCCACCAGCACTGAAAAATAATAATAATAAAAAAAAAATCATGTCATCTAAACAATATGTTCACACATCACCAGAATTCATCTCAAAACAAATTTACACTTTAAAAGAAACGAAAACACACTTTATATAAGAATTCTTATATCTTCCAATGTGATATTAAAAAAAAAAATTAAAAAAAAAAATTTCATCCCAGTACGCATTACAGGTGTGCCTGTTTTTTTGTTTCTTTCTACATATCTGCTATCTTAACTAGGCAATGGATACCACCACTTAAAACATTGTAAAAGGTCTTGTTATTTTCCACAGTTACCTACTTTTTTTTCCCCCATGATGCTAAAATAGGAAGATGACACCATATTGACTTCAAATGAAAGTCACATCAGGAGTTTGGCCAGGATGAGATAGATGTAACGGAAAAAAAATAAGTTTACTTAAATGACATGCCCAGACTTCTGCTTTTCATAAAACAATGGAGCTGTAAGATTTAAATTATTTTATCTAAACATAAAACAAGCAGACACCTCCATTACCAGAAATAGATGCTTCAATAAGGAGCATGGTAAAAGGGATCTATTCTATTCAAAGAAACTCTGACCAGTAAAGGTTTGGGGCAATGCTCATCATTTTATTATATATATATATATATATATATATATTTTATTTTTTTTAAAGGAGCCACAGTGGCAAGAGGCAGCAAATAGGAGGACCACACTAATTACAAAACCCTGTGGCCTACCAGTTTAGCCAATTTCCTCCCACAGAATACATACAACTTAAAGTAACAGTGTTGGGAATACAAATGTGTATTCCTAACACTATAGTGCCCTGGTTGCCACTAGAGGCATTTAACCACTGCAATGAAAACATTGTCATTCTGCATACAGGAAAGAGACATGGCACACAGACCACTTCATTGAGATGAAGTAGTCTGGGGCATATAGTGTCACTTTAAACAGAATACAAAAAATAAAAATACCAGAAAGGTTAACGTAGAATATACATAACACATAATATATCATGGCTCACTTAGTGCAATGTGGATTGTGCTTATGTATTGCTCTGACGACTAGTTACTGCTGGGCTAGATCACTGTGCATCTGTTTGTGGAGTAGCCAGTTTAATTTATGAGAGAAAAATAAAATGAATGGAGCTACTGAGAAGCTGATCAAAATAGCCCTTGCGGCTATCCACTTGTGCAGCAGTTTCATTCAAACCTCTTGAGAAAAAACAAAAAACAACAAGGCTAATCTACAGATCTCAAAAAGCTGCTGGGCAGGGATTGAATGGATAGCATATCCATTGAAGATACATTTCTAAAACAGCTAATATAGTTTTAGCTATATATTTATTTATTTTTGTGGATTGAGCAAAGGCTCCTTTCCGCTGCTGCAAAACCCTTGCAATTTTTATTTGGTCATTGTCATTTATATTTTAAATTTACCATATTTTCAAATATTATATAACGCATTATATATACTGAGGCTGGAGTGCTCCTTTAAAGTGTTAGCCTAGGTTCCACATCAATACAGGAGGCCTAGGTGCCATTCAAATAGTTTTGGATTGGTTTGACTCTTATCCAAGTCTCCTGGGACCTCTGGTCCAGTCTCTTTTTTCCCTGACAAATCTACTGCTGAGGTTCTCCTCTTGCAACAACAGATATATTTGTTTTGTCCCTCTTTGGGCATGATACATTGGCTGAGAACGTCTTAGTCATGGAGTTCTATCCAAACACTGGTAGCAATATCAGAGGGGGCTGGACCAGAGCTGCCATGGGAACTCAAGTAAAAGACACACCATTTGCGAATGGTCTGACATTTAACTGTACCAGGGGACTTCTGACACCACAACCACAGCAGGCATCAGTGGTTTTAGTAATTAGACTGCCCCTTTAACCCCTTAAGGACCAAACTTCTGGAATAAAAGAGAATCATGACATGTCACACATCATGTGTCCCTAAGGGGTTAAAGACTTGACATTCTACTGCAACATTATAATACATGACCATTTCCCAATGAATGTGTCATTTTAAGTGTCCAGCAGTTCACACTGTGCCTAGAGCGGTATCAGCTACACCCAAGGCCCAAAGAAGGCCGAAACGATCGTCCGGGGTTGCTTTATCTCTCAGAACTTGCCCAATTTACTGTTCTGAGCTGCTGTGAGTGTGGGATCAGTCTGATAAATAAATGGTATAGGTTCTCTGTAATGGCACAAGTAATCAAAAACTATTTTAAGACCCAAGCAGGGATTTACCAAAGGGCATGGAGCTTTTGCAATTTCTCAGAGTGCTCTGGCTTTATTGCAGAGTCCACTCACACATATATATACACACAGACAGACAGACCGACCAATACACACACACAGACACACAGTAGTTGAGGCACAGTGGAACTGACCGTGGTATAGCCCCTCCCCCCCCTCTCACACACTCCATAGTCAGCACTTACTTCCGGACCCCGGTCTTGGATCGCAAGTTGCCCCCCAGCAGCCGGCTCCCGGCCTTCAGGGCGCCTGCAATACGGACTAAGGAAGACATGGCACCGCCACGGTCCGGGACAATGTCACCTTTTACGACAGGAGTGTGCGCTGGGCGCTGATTGGTTCCCTCTCTGGCACCGCGAGCTGTAATTGGCTAATGCAGGCGTGCGATGTGATTGGCTACGATGAAGATCCAGGCAGGTCCTGATTGGCTGACACACGGAAGCAGACCTCAACCATCTGAACACCGGGGGGGGGGGGTCGTGATTGCTGTGGACGCTACCATTAAATAGCAGCAGCTATACATGGCGGCAGAAAAAGAAACGGACTGGCAATACATTGATTTACACCAGATAAAACGCCACGTGCCCGCCGACCTCATAACTAATGTCACATATTATTTATCAAGCTATCACTGTGGAATACTGGGTATAGAATCTTATACTCCCCCCCCCCGGACTGTACCATTATAAACCCGAGCCCAGCAATGTTCTGTATAGTTACACGGCGCGTGTTATTTCGCTGTGTTTGTATAATGTGCTACTGCCGGTTTTGGGTTTAAGATCAAATTATTCTTAAAAGTAATAATTATTGAAGCTAACTCCTTTTTATGCATATACCCACACCCACGAACTCTGCTGAAAATGGTAGCTGCGGTTTCCATGGTTTCCTAGTACACTGTGCTTCCATGGAGCTATTCTGATACCAATATAGAACACTAAGCATCATGATAGAACTCTGATAACAAAATAGACTCTGATACCAAGACAGAACTCTCGGCATCAAGATAGAAATCTGATACCTAGACAGAACTCTGGGCGTCAAGATAGAATTGTAAGCATCAAGATAGAACTCTGGGCATAAAGATAGAACTTTGGGTATCAAGACAGAACTCTGATACCTAGATAGAACTCTGGGCGTCAAAATAGAACTTTGGGCATCAAGATAGAACTCTGGGCATCAAGATAGAACTTTGGACATCAAGATAGAACTCTGATACCACAACTAAGCATCAAGATAGAACTCTGGGCATCAAAATAGAAATCTGATACCAAAATGGAACTCTGATACCAAGACAGAACTCTGATACCTAGATAGAACTCTGATACCAAGATAGACATCAAGAGGTGAGTTCAGTACCCAGGAATGTCACATACAGAGGCGTAACTAGAAACCCAGGGACCCGGTGCGAAAATTGCCCTGGGCCCCCCCCCAATCCCCTCGATGTGTCTCATTTACCCATGTGTCTCATTCCCTACCCCCAGCCTCTCCATGTATCTCATCCCCCCCCAAGTGTCTAATTTCCTCCCCCCCATGTGTAACATTCCCTCCCTCCAAGTCTCTCCACATGTCTCATCCCCCCCCAAAGCCCCTCTATGTGTCTCATTTCCCGGCCATCTACATGTATCTTTCTCCCCCTCCACTCTTACCCCTCCATATGTCTCATTTCCCCCCACGTTTCTCATTTCCCCCCCTTCCCCTTCAGACTCTCCATTCTCCCCCTTCCCCTGAAGACTCTCCATTCCCCCCTTCCAGTGCAGACTCTCCATCCCCCTAACCTGTTTGCCGCGTTCGCGGTATCCGTCTGAGTCTGATAGGAAGTGCTCTCTTTATGAGAGCACCGGCCCTAAAGGCATGCTGGAAGCCCATGGTCGCAGTGGCGGCTGGGCCCCCTGGAGTGACGGACCTGCTCGCAACTGCGACCCCTGCGACCGTGGTAGTTATGCCACTGGTCACATAATCAATATAATATAATACATAACAGCATATGCTACCTATTCAATTAAAATGTACCTATTATGGTGCGTGTACCATATTATATCATATAATATGTAGGGTTTTTTAAAATTCATGTAATTTGACATTTTTATATCACTTGCCTACCGTTTTTACTTCTTTTTGCAACCATCTTTATGTAGGTTGCTGCTCGTAAAACTAGTGCCTCTCTAATAGAAGCACTCAGTAAGGCAGGAAACGCTCCCAGACGTCTGCTCAACTGATGGGAAGGATAGGTTTAACCCCTTAAGGACCAAACTTCTGGAATAAAAGGGAATCATGACATGTCACACATGTCATGTGTCCTTAAGGGGTTAAAGGAGCACTATAGTGCCAGGAAAACATATTCGTTATCCTGGCACTATAGGGTTATTAGGTCCCCCTCTCATTCGTGGCCCCCTTCCCACTAGGCTGAAGGGGTTAAAACACCTTCAGCCACTTACCTTAATCCAGCGCCAGGCTCCCTCGATGCTGGTGACCTCTCCTCCCCCTGCCGATGTTAGCTCCAAATTACTCAATGCTTACCTATGGACGTCAGCATCATCTCAGTGTGATTTTCACACTGAGAATCGCGAAAGAGGCATCTAGTGGCTGTCAGGTAGATGTTTTCAGCTGCAGGGTTAAAACCAGGGGGACCCGGCCCCCAGACAACTTCATTGAGCCGAAGTGGTCTGGGTGCCTATAGTGGTCCTTTAAGGGTTATCCCCTAGCACCATGACCACTTAATTGACTTGAAGTGGTCAGGATGCCTGAGGTCTGTATGTGCAGAGTTTTACTTTGAAATGCTGTATATACAGAGATAAATCCATATGCTGCCGATGTGACTCCACCTTTAGTAGCATCATTGGGGTGTAGAGTTCAGGTTGCTAATGTTAATTAAGTGGTAAAGTAATTTCTAACTGCAGCTCTCACTGAGCTGCAGGGGAGATGGGAAACAGTGTTCTGCATATCGTAGAAACAAACCATTTAAAACGGCTTGAATCCCTACAATTGGGAGCAATATGACACTCCTATAAAACTGGACTTGGCTGAAAAACATGGAGGCATATTACATTGGTTATTTGTCTTGTGATGTTGTGTGGTGTGCAAACATTTTTGAAAATTAGATTTCCAAGAATAATAATATAAAATGTATGCAGAAAATATAAATGTAGCACTTTTTCTTTATATTTGCATTATGATTGTATTTTTTCAATTAATGATGCCTTCTTGACACAATTTAACATTAAAGCAGAGAGGGGCAAACTATTTTCCTATGAAAACCGATGGTGAATATAACAATGTAACATTAATGCAGAAGTAACTTTAATTCAGTTTTTTCATTGAGCCGAAGTGGTCTGGGTGCCTATAGTGGTCCTTTAAGGGTTATCCCCTAGCACCATGACCACTTAATTGACTTGAAGTGGTCAGGATGCCTGAGTTCTGTATGTGCAGAGTTTTACTTTGAAATGCTGTATATACAGAGATAAATCCATATGCTGCCGATGTGACTCCACCTTTAGTAGCATCATTGGGGTGTAGAGTTCAGGTTGCTAATGTTAATTAAGTGGTAAAGTAATTTCTAACTGCAGCTCTCACTGAGCTGCAGGGGAGATGGGAAACAGTGTTCTGCATATCGTAGAAACAAACCATTTAAAACGGCTTGAATCCCTACAATTGGGAGCAATATGACACTCCTATAAAACTGGACTTGGCTGAAAAACATGGAGGCATATTACATTGGTTATTTGTCTTGTGATGTTGTGTGGTGTGCAAACATTTTTGAAAATTAGATTTCCAAGAATAATAATATAAAATGTATGCAGAAAATATAAATGTAGCACTTTTTCTTTATATTTGCATTATGATTGTATTTTTTTCAATTAATGATGCCTTCTTGACACAATTTAACATTAAAGCAGAGAGGGGCAAACTATTTTCCTATGAAAACCGATGGTGAATATAACAAGGTAACATTAATGCAGAAGTAACTTTAATTCAGTTTTTTTCACTAAAAGCCTGAACACCCACAAGTCTTGATTCTCAAAAATAATCTGCCACCTTCCGAAGGCATTTAAACTGCAAAATAGTTTGTTCTGATGATTGTTCTTAAGATTATCAATGTCTAGATTTTGAACAGAGCCTCTAAATTACCTTAAGCGCGGTCAGCCGGTCTTGATGCAGATGAAAGGCCATAATCCATAACTGAATTATATAGAACCAAATTTACATATTAAATTGCCAGTTACCTTGAACCAAATTTACACAATAGAATTGAACTGAAATTTCAGGCAATTTACGGCAGATTCGAATAAAAGCTACCACTGCAATAATCTGGTGGCTATCTCTATTTGAGAAAGGGTTAACTTCTTGGAAGGGTCTAGTATACCCCAATTATACTTTTTTTAAAAATAAAAAATATATATGTTGAGTTTTTAAATACACATTACTGTAAGTACTAACAAGACTACATCATAATGTAGCGGTTTTGGCGCATAGATGCTGTCCTTTTTCTTAGATAATATAAAACACTGAGAAACATAGTTTACAATTGACCATGAACATGCCTCTATAGTAGGGGTCAGCAACCTACGCCACGTGTGCCAAGCCTGGCACTCGAGGAGCCTTTGAACAGCACTCAAGGCTGCTAGAGCCAAACAAGCTCTGGCCTATCCGTTCGGGAGTTATGGAGCTCTGGAGGTGTCAGCAGTGTTCGGGTAATCGAGTGTCCGATTTGAGTTCCAGACACTCGACGACCAAACACCGCTGAGTCTTTCGTGCGTAAGATGGCCGCGGCCACGTGTTCGTACGTCGAATGGCGGCCACCCAGATACAGCAATAAACCACCTATTAGTCTGCGGTTAACACATGTTTGTCACTTAATTGGGAACACACTTCACTCTGGGGAGGTCTATTAGTTCGGTAGTTTCCATTCATATGGGTGGGGAGATCACTAAGGGACAGGGGAGAGCACTATGGTACAGGAGGGGAGAGCTCTAAGGGACAGGAGGGAAGAGCAGTAAGGGACAAGAGGGGGGGGAGGCTGAGGAAGGGGGGAAAGAGAAGCACAAAGGGGCTGGTAGGACTCAGCCCCTATCCTACCACAAACTCTCTTTTTCACAATACACACACAATGCTTCTCTAAAAATACACAAAAACACACAATGCATCCCTACACACAGAAACACACCATGCTTCCCTTACAAACAGAGAAACATACAATGCATCCATTACACACAAAGACAATGCATCCCTTGCACACATACACAGAAACACACGATGCATCCCTTACATACACACACACACTGCTTCTCTTATACACACACAGAAACACAATGCATCTCTTACACACACACACACTGCATCCCTTACATACACAGAAACACATCTTGCATTCCTTGCACAT